ACCATGTAGTGGAATAACCTCACTTATGCCATATCACTCAAAACTTTGGACAGCAATTTAAAACCTGTTTAACTACCATAGGCCTGTATGGATGCTGAGAGTCAAATATTGCTTGATGCAGAAATATGGTGGAGCTGTAGGTCTGTGGTGCTCAACATGCAGCCCCTCTAGTGTCTACTTTGAAATGTGGCTGTTGGCCCAGATCTTTAAATTCAGTATTTGCATAACCTTGTAGGTTTGGGATCATGTCTTCAAATTTGTGATCCTCATGATTATAGGAGTAATCCTCACACAAGTGTGTGTATATATATACGAGGATGCCATACCTCCCAGCTTTCCCCCCGTGTGAGTTCTTAGCTCTTTCTCAGGGACTGGAAGCAGCTCTTAACTCAGAGTTATGTTGCCATTTATTTAGCCAAGATGTTTATGATTTGCTTTTACTGTCTGAGCAGGTGCTGGTAGATAATAATGAAAGGTTTTGTAAACAAGATTTCACTATGTAATGAGGTGTGGCTAATGGTAGAATTAACAAAAAATAAATCAAAAAGCAAAGCGAAGACACTTAAATGCTAACAGAGGAAAATGTGTTAAAAGAACAGCTTTAGTGGTCACATATTCATGGTGGGCCTTTTGAATTCAGTGCCTTTTTTTTTTGGTGCTTAGTTACTTCACTTTTAATCAATTCCATTTATTAAAAATCCATCATCTTTAATGTTTGTGTGCTGTGACATTCCCAGTGAGACAAAATTCTAAGAAGTCACTGCAACATGTTTCTGCATTTTATTCATGCTCCTCCAGCCAGCACAACTTGGATTTAATTGTCTGGAGCAGTTTATGCTGTTATTTTGGATATGGCTTTTTTTGTGTGTAAAATGCATTTGTTTTTTCTAGCCTGTCTTCCAGAACAAACAACTAGTCAGATTTTTACAAATGCCTGAAAGTTGAAGGAATTTACTTTGATTTACTTTGGAAAGCAGGACATCTGCCAGTATTCTGGGTACAGGAACAGGGGAATTCTGATGCACAGGAAACTTGTTTCTCAAATTAAAAATTAAGTTGCATCAGTATTTTTTAGAATTCATTAATCACAATAGTGAGGAAGTGGTCATGGCAGTTGTCTTGGGAATCTTGTGTAAGGATTTTTTTTAGCTTCTATGTACACTTAATCTTCATTATATTCTCTTCAGTGCCAAAATCCTGAGGTGTGGGGTTTTTTCATATTTAAAAATTGAGTTGCAAGACAACGCATTCCTCTCTTGCTCTTTGTAGACAAGTAGCTACTTTTCATCCATTTCTTTCATTCATTTCCTTTGCATCTTTCTTTTGCAACTCTTCTAATGCACACACACATATACGAAGCTCTGTCCTTCCTTTATTCTTCTGTCATTGTTTCCATTTCACTTTCCCTGTGTTTCATTCCTGTATCTTTCTTGTTTAGACCAAGTGGAGGATCCAGCTGGCAGTAGCAGCCATGTAGGACCCTTCAGGAACCTGATGGTAAGTGCACGTGTGTACTTATACTCAGGCTTCCAGCAGGTCTGTATTCTGAGGCATATTCCTCTTCCTGCAGACCTCTCAGTTCTTGGCATCTTAAACTGTAATAAGAGACAGACCTTGGTCTACTCACTGATACCCTTCATATCAGAATAGCAGGTTGTGTTTTTCATTGAGAATAGGAAGAAAACAATGCAAACCTTTCAGGTTTACATGGATTAAACCAGCACTTTGAGAACTCCTGTAGGAAAGTTTATCAAGAGCTATTAAATATCTTCAGAGCTTCCTAAACTCTACATCCATGAAAGCTGGGAGAGCATACCCAGCAGGTATCACTTTACTGTTATTCTTACTCTTAAATTCTTTTCCTCAGCATCTGCTATTGAACATTCAGGGCCATGAAATCTGGAACAGTTGTTGCCACGCTTGAGTGGAGTGGATTTCTACAGCCCTTGCAAAGAAAGTTGCCACCTAGAAAACCAACAGAATAAAGCTACTGAAAGGAAAACATCAACAATGGCTTGATGTGTGTCAGAAGTTGATCTGATGCATCTAAATTTGTTTGTGCAAGCAATGTTGCTTGATCTTCTGAGTAAGTGCCAGTAGGTGCTGGATAAGTCTTCTCTTCAAAGGCCTTTATGCTTAAAGGTCAAGAACTTAAAACATTTCCAGCTGCATCAGGAGAAGGTTGCATCTTTTTTAAGAGTGTGGTAGGAGAACTTGCCAATGATCTTTCCATCAGTAGCATAAAGAAGTTAATTAAGTAGGTCAAATTTGCATACAAATCTTGCAATTCCAGTGATTTTTCCAGTTTATAATTGGATTTGAGGTACTATATATTTTATATTCTATAAGTTGATGGTACTTTGGAACACCTCAGCACATTACAGCTGAGTGTTTTTTTGTTGTAGCTTTTACATATTTTACATCACACTTTAAAGAGCAAAATTTATTTCTTATCTGGTTATAAGAAAAAAAAAAAAAGTCTTGGTTTGAAGGCTTTTAAAGTAACCTGCTGAAGTTCAGTGCTGCTGTAGAATTGATGTAGACTTGCCCAGTGACTTCATCTGCAATGCCATCCTGTACTGCACCATCCAGTACAATATCCCTGGTCATAGGGATTAGTAGTGCAAACCCTGGCCAAGTTTGGCATAGGTGAGAGAAGCCTGTGAACCAGTCTTTTACTTCTTGTTTCCAGTCTCACCTCTAGAGAAGAGACATGAACCTAGAATTTTGTCACTGAATTCAAGATACTGATGTTGGTCTTCAAATGATAAGCAGTCTGCAAAAAAGTTGATAGCTCGTAAAGGATTCTGGCAATTAAATCCATTTTCTGTCCTTGCTCTAAGGTGTATTGAGGTGCATGTTTGATTCCCTAGGAATGTTTTGAACTTTGACATTGAGAATTCTACCTAGAAATGGAGATGTTTAACTGTGTTACTGTACATTGCAAGAGGGGTTTGAGGTGGCTTGGCAGATGTTTCTGGAAGTTTGTTTGCAATCCTGTGCGCTCACATCTAGGTCCTACCAGTTGTAATTGCAAGCATTAGAGGTGCTGATAATGTAACATTATGTTCAGGTTGGACGTTCAGTCATAGCCTGTCAGGTAAAGGGTGAACACTAAAATGTGTGCTAAATCTTCCAGCAACTTGCAGGTGTTTGGTATAAAATACAATGGAATACTGTCAAACCAGTGTTGGTTCATTATGGCAGGTTTAGACAGGAGGATTGTTTACAGTACTTGACATTATTATGAAATAATTGCTAGTTCACTTTAGGAAGGGTTCATGTGTATTTTCCAAAAGTGACAAAAATTAATTCTTAGTGACTGTTGTCAGTGTCTTGGCTAAAGACTGTTACACTGGGGGGAGAAGGTAATTACATACATGAAACCAAAATACCCTGGAATTCAGGGAGAATCTGAAATTTGAGCTGTTTGAGAGCAAATTATTTAATTGTTTGGGTAGAATAGAATGTTCAAGTAAAAACAAGCATTTCCTTTTAAAGCTGACCTGTCCCTGGTCTGTTCTACTGGAGAGGATTCATAGTTAGAAATTTTCAGTTTGAATAGAGGGAGAGGTTTTTAAAGGGCATTTCAGTTTCTTGGCTCAAGATATGACAAATATTTTCGAGGAAAAGCAGAAGGAACTGCTTGGCTGGATTGTGTGTTGGAAAAATATGCTTCCAAGGAAGAAATGGACTTAGGGCTATGATGCACCCTTGTGATTAGAGGGAGGTGTCAGTGTGTTAAGAAGTAGCATTTTGTGCATTAGAGGGAGTGAAGGAGGAATTTGGATTGTTGCTTCTGGACAGTTCTTCCTAATAGGGGCTGTGTGGAAGTGCCAAGTTTCAGAGGAAACTGATGTCTTGCTCAGTGTTGCATGTAAAATAACCTTTCTGTATGGAGGTGATGGTCTTCACAATTAATTGAGTTGGGACACCTTGAAGGTTTGTTATCACACAGCCCTGTCATCATTTCTGTGCATTATAGGACTGAATCTTTAATGGACAAAATCAGCAGTGCAACTTGGCAGTGTGTTGGTCAATGGCAGTGTCTACGTCTTGCATCATTGATTTGGTCTTCATCATCCTGTGCAGCTAATCCATGCTGCTGAACAGAGAGTGTTAGCAAACTTGTTTGTGTCAGTGGACATGATGAAATAGTTTTCTATTTTACTGTTACTCTGTTCCAGCTCATTTGGTTTTGCTCTCTGTGCCTTGCTGGTCAGGATCCTGCTGTGTTCAGTCTTTTCATAATGTTATTACTTCATTGTAGTTATAACTCTCTTCAAGTCATTATTCAGAATGTTCACATAAGTAGAGAAGCTTCTCTGGGTTTCTACTTCATAAGGTCTTCCAATTAACATTAGGGAGTAATAGTATAGAAAGAAATGTTGTATTTTCCATGTGCTTGTTAGGAGATGCAGTAATTTAAGAGCCATATGAAGGTAACTGTGCTGTGAGCTCATTTACTCTGGACTATGCATTTCTCTTCAGTTTATTCTTCAAAATTGTGGGAAGAATTTTGGAGTCTTAGGTTTTTAGTAACATTGTTTTCTTATAATTTCTTCTGGGCTCTGGAGACTTCTCTCTTTATCTGAATGATGTTCATTTTTACTGATCTATCTTGTATTCCTTAGGAAAAAAGGGTTTCTGCAGAAGTGTGTTATGTTGTAGAGCTGGGGGTCTTAATTCTGTCACTCAACTAGGAAAAATGAAAGTTGTTGAGCAGGAAT